TTTACTCCAGGCTTTTCAGTGCAGGTGGCCTGGATAAACGGGGTCTTGGGCTGCAGGGACCCACAGATCCACCCTGCACCTCGCTGCAGCAAGCCCTTGAGAGCTGGTGCCTGGGTTATTCCCTCCAGAGAGAATGAGCTCTGAACCTGGCGGGGAAGCCGACTTGCCCGTCAGCCCCAAATCCCCTGGAGCTGTGTCTGTGCGCAGATGTTTCCGTGGAGTTCCAAACCGCAGATGTTTCTTGGGCAGATCCCTGCGGCCCGTGGCTGCGTGCTCGGGAGCGAAGCGTTGCGGGGAGATGCAAGGCTGCCTGACGGGACATCGTTCCTTTTCCTGTTCTGCTTTGCAGGCTCCCAGAGAGATGGATTCCTCACCACTCTGAAGACCACACCTGCAAGATATCCTTGTGATGCCGTCGGCTGCTCGGGCTGTCGAGCACTGGCGCCGAAACGCCGATGGTGCAACGAGCCCTTTGTAGGGTCGCCCTGCTCTACTTCCCACTGCACCACCTGGCTGGGGCAGGGACCTCCTCGTCTGAGGACTGATCATATCGCCAAACTGGGAAGCCCTTTAGCTCACTACCAGGCCCTAAGAGTAGGTGACAAACATGTTACCCGGCGTGCAAGCTCATGGAAAGGGAAACAGCAGTGGTGCCCGCAGGATGGCACGGGGAACGGGAAGCTTGATGTTTTCCTGGCTCAGTGTGCGTGTGGTTGCAGCACGTGCCTCCCAAAACAGTCTTCAGCCTCTCCTTGCGGGTTGATTTGGTGCCCCTTGGCCTCTCCTTGCGGGATGATTTGGTGCCCCTTGGCCTCTCCTTGCGGGATGACTTGGTTCCTTGAGATTTCCTTGACTTTTGTTTCACTGTGCTGGAGTTGGTGATTTGTTTTTTCTCAGTCTGGTCTATTTTAGGCCTCTCAGGTTTTCACACTTACTTAGTCGCCTCCAACCTGACGACAAACGAAGACGTAAGTACCTGGACGCTTATCCTTCCGCGGGGCCGCTCCTTCCTAAGCCGAGGTGAGGTTTTTGGGGAATCCTTGGCTGGCTGCCTCGCTGCAGTGCCTTGGTACGGCATGCTGCCTGCGCTGCCTGGGATAATCTGCTGCACGGCCGTGCCCGAGGTGTTCAGGCCGCAGTTCTGGGTGGCTGAGCGAGGGGAGCAGCGCGCAGCAGCAGGTGACCGTGCAGCGGGCGTTGCTCGGCAGTGTCAGGCCACGGGTGTCACGCGCTGTGATCTTCAAAAGGTCACGTGGGTGTTTTTTCCAGTCTGTACGTGGCCTTGCTTAAAATTAGGAGTTCGGAGATTAAAAAAGAAAGGCTGGCCCCAGAGGTTTAGCCGGGGACATGGGTGATCTTAATTCAGCATCCTGCATAACCACAGGTTTCCTCTGAGACCCTGGGCAAGTCCCTTTGTCTCTATCAGTTCCTCCTGTCTAGTAGGCAAATAACACACAGACATCTCCTCGTGAGATTCACCTCCGAGGCTGGGCTGCGTGCAGGCTCCGAGGGCCAAATGAGTACCCTGAGCAGAGCGTACGGAAAAGCAGGATCTCTCTGATCCTAGAAGGAATCAAAACTCACCCTTCTGGCCAGAAGTACCCGTTACCCTTGCTGGAAGCTTCCAGCACTGCAGAAGGCACTTCTGCATCCCTTTTTTGGTTGTGTTTTTTACTTCGTCCCCTTCCTCCCCACCGTTCTGTTACGTTCGGGGGTTGGCAGAGCTGCACGAGGCCGTGTGACGCTCACGGGGGGACTGAGAGCACCGGGCCCGACGCGCGTGGCCTCTCCGGCTGCGTCGCCGGCCTCGCGCTGCAGCTGGGGAGGGGAAGTAAAATCAAAAGGAGGAAATGTGCTGGTAAACGGTTCGCTGCAGCCAGGGGCCTGGGGCCAGGTATAGCATCTGCCCGCTCGCGTGCCTACGCTTGATGCCAGCGGGGTTTTGAAATCGGAGCCCTGCTGGCAGCTGCTCAGGGTGGGGACGGATGAGATTGTTTCCTCCTGGAGATCCCCTTGCTGTTTGTTCAGCCTGAGGAGCCCAGGAAGAGACCATGAGCTCGAGCCCCGCTCTGATGGGCCTGCAGCTGAGGGGAGGAGGAGGAGGCTGGTGATGGTGATGCTGACAAGATGCCATTTGGCACGGGGAGGGCACAGCTTTGGAGCCTGCTGGCTGCAGGGTTGAACTGTGGCAGAGGCAGGAGCAGCACGCTGCC